AATGTGCTGAAATAAATCCCGGAAAAGATCGATTCGTGGCTTTTGAGAATCGATATCGAATCGATGTCATTTAAAAAAACGATTAATCGAAAAATTTATTTTTTTGCCCAGCCCTACATAGCATCGGGAGAGGGTAGCGTCATTTTACCAGCATTGCCCAGTGCAGCTGTACTACACCATATACAGCACAGCGCTACTGCAAACAGGAATAAAGCATTTCATCCATGTCGCCAGTAGCAAACAATGGAGCACGCTCTGCTGGACAAACTAAGTAATTACACCATTTCAAGCATTTTATCTGCGTTATATGTTCTGTGAAAAAAAATGTTCATATCGGCGGCGTATTAGTCGATACCGATATATCGGCGACAGGCTCATATCGGCCAAACGATATATCGGTCGGGCTCTAATGATTACTGTACTTGCATTATTGTAAGGGCTAGGTTTAGGGTTGGGGTAGGTGTAGAAGTTAATAAAACACAATCTAAAGTGTAGAAAATTTAATTTACTGTTAACTTCCAGCCGTAGCTGAATCCCTTCTAGCCACAACCTATTTGAGCGGAATATTGAGCGAAGCGTCAGTGACGACGTCTAGAGGGAGAGGGAAACCCTGGGTTGTTTAGAGGACATTTTCTCAAAAATAAGTTTTCATTTTAGTCTTCTGAATAATAATACCAGAAGAATGACATCTTCGGATGGCTCTTTATTTTAGCAACGCAATACATTGAAACACTGAGTCCCGTACAGATGGGATGAGTCCAGTGAGATGGGAACAAAATCATTCAAAGCATTGACGGGGAACATTAAAAAAACACTGATGCTTTAATAAATAGCATTTTAAAAAATGAGACAGTAGCCTGAATGTTATAATGACCACTTTCACATAGTCCTCAAAATGTAAACAAAACACTGTATGGTAACAAAATTGTCCTCCTTAATATATCTGACCTTCTCTGGTCTGTTCATCTGAGCTGAATTAGCATGTGTAGTTTGTTCACTGACACGTTTCTCTCACTGAAATCTAGTAGTTTATTGTGAAGTTGTTGCAATAAGGCCTACATATGTATTTTGTTACAGTAAAGGCTCTTACTGGCAATCAAATATAAAAAAAATCTTGTATCATCACTGGTACACGTTATTAAATTCATCAGTTCCTGTAGGTCTCAATAGAGATCATCTGTATTGCAGTCATGCAACTTCTACTGTAACTAGGGATGCACGATATATTGCTGACCATGGGCCCATTTTACTATACAATATTTCCCACTTGCATATTTTTACACTTTTATTTTACATGAAGCCACTTTTTTTATACATGAACAATTTAATCAAATTAATTGTCATGTTTGTGCTTCATAAATGATGCTCAGTGTGTTTCCATTTAAAAAAATGTTACAGAGAATAAATTAAAAAAGGTAACACTGACTTTTTATATAGTTCTGACTCTTTTTATTTTTTTCTAGCAATTCTGAGACGTCTGAATTGCGAGCTGTTAACACTTGGTTCTCAGAAGAAAAGTCTGCATTGTGTGATATAAACATGCAATTGCAGGAGTAAAAAAATCTGAATTGTGAGAAAAAAAGTTGCAGTTACCTTTTTTATTTTTTAGCGAGATTTCTTTGTTTGAGATTATATTTTGCATTTCTGGCTTTTTTCCCCTTCAGAATTATATGTTTGTATTTTGCAATTCAGAGTTTATATCCAACAATTCTGAAAAAATAATGAATTGAGATTAAAAAAAAAAAGTCACAATTTTGTGATATAAACAATTTCGGGATACAAACTAGCCTAAATATAGAAAGTCCCATGTTAGAAATGGAAAAAATCTGAATTGAAAGATATAACATTGCAATTATCAATTTTTTTCATCCTGTGTTGAAAACATGCTTCCTTATTTAGTAGCCATAAAAATAACTGGTCAAAATTTCTATATCAGTGCATCCCTAATTGTAACTATTTCTAAGACTGTATTCGCTCTTTTCCATTGGGACGGCAATAATCGCTTTTCATTACCTGGCAAACTGTTATGCAAGTAGATGAGTGGGTGTATATATATATATATATATACATACATCTGAAAAGCATGAATGAGTCCATGACATATTTACAGGCTTCACACACGCGGTCCAGTCAGATGATGCAGAGCTGGTTTGGTCATGCATTAGCTCACCGTACATCCTCTCATGGCCTTAAACTCATCATTCAGTTTAGTAAGAACTCAAATCTATACAATTAAAATGTGCTTTTGTCAGATGAAAGAAACCGACACATCACGTACAAGTTACACATGTAGATACATTGATGAGCTGAGGGCTGATGGGATTGTTCTGCTGGTGCTGGGTGGCGCTACAGGGCCCGCGGGCGTTTGGGGTTGATCTGCTTACTGGCCTGTTCCTCTTCCTGAAGAGCCGAGCGGAAAGACTTCACTTTATCTGAGACCAAAGGAAACACAATTTACTGTGTGTCTGTCTTGACGAAGCATTTGATTTGACATGAAGGAGAACAACTTTATAGGAGACACAGGAATGATGGGTTTGTCATACTGTTGTGTAGCCTGAGAGTCAATTGCTGACAAAACGTGAGTGTCATGAAGTGTGCAGCTTATGTTTCAGCCCAAAATCAGAAGCATTTATTTTGTTTAAAGAAATTGAAGTTTATTTTAAGTCCACTCATATTTTTGTGTATTTGAATGTAAATAATTGATTCTAAATAATTTAAGAATTTTACAAATGATTATGAAGAATTTTAATGACGTTCATTTCATGTGAATTTGTATATATTTGTAAATAAAGAAAATATGTATTTATATTATTACTAAATATTATAAAACTTTAATAATAACATTACTATTAAATTATTTTTAAATAATAAATTTCTGGAATATAAATATTCTTTTACAAACATTACCGTTTTTTTTAAACTATTAATAAACATTACAATTCTATGAAAAAAGTCTTTACGTAATAAAAAAATCTTAAATACATATAAAGTCTATTTTAAAACCATTATTTTTGGATGACAGTGATTCAAACGAAGTAAAATATACCATTTTAAATGTCAGCATCATTTTCAATAATTTATTATAAATTACAAATTATTTTAGAATTTTATAAATAAGGAACCTGAATATTTATACACATGAATATTTTATATAATATTAATATTATGTAACTAATTGTTACACTTTATAATTTCTAGAATAAAAATATATTTTTTACAAACATATTACAGTTTGTAAAACAATTTATAAACATTCTGTGAAAAAAATGTTTGTAATATACAGAAATTCTACACAGTCTATTTTAAAACGCAAGTCTATAATAAAAAAAATTGTATTATGACATTACTTCATACATTTTTTAAATTAAAATAGATGACAATTTGAAACGTTGTCAGTGTCATTTTTAATGTATTATAATAAAGAACAATACTTCATTCATTTGAAAATTAATATATAGTAATATTTCTGGGGAGAAAGTAAATTTTCCTAAAAAATGTTCTAAAAATAAATTTTATTTTTGTGTAGTTTGTGTCTTCTCTAATTAATATGGACCACATTTAAAACTGTGACATCTTGTAGGCTACTCCAATGATTTGATTCTAATTCCAGGTTCTTGGAGGACGACTGTGAACACACTGACCTCTGAGCTCTGTTAGCACATCAATCTTCTGATCCAGGATTTGCTCAAGCTGAGTGGCGTATGATTCCACATCATAATCGACTTCCTCTGTCATCTCCAGAAGAACCTTCTCATCCTCCAGCCAGCGTATGGACTCCTACAACACCAAACACACAGCATGACCGCTGTACTCCATCACGAACACATTAAAGCATAATCAAGATATACAGTACAGTTCAAAAGTTTGGCCTCAGAGAGTGTGTGTGTTCTTTTAAAATAAAGTAATGTTTTTGTTACGAAACATAACTGCTTATATACAGTTACAAAAATTACTTATGGATAGACAGATGTGCACAAACAATACATTATATTAATTATATTTTTGTGACTATAAATGCATAAGGGTACAATATAATTGATTGTACAATAAAATGTATGAATATTATGGGTGTAACGGTTCAGTTCGGTATGTACGATGTTCAGGGAAAAAAGGACTATGGTCAAATAAAAATAAAGAAAATAAATAAACTAAATGCAACAGCACAAATAAATATGAGCAAATAAAATAAGTTTTTCAAATATTTAACAGTAATTTTCAGGCACAGAAATTTAAAAGTAAACATATGTAAAATTAATAACAGTGCATATTTCACTGTATAAATCCTTGAAGTTACAAAAACTATTCAATCAAGAGAAGTGAGTGATTTCCTCTTTTGTTGTTTAACATTAAAAACACAGACAGCAGGAATAGACAAAAATCACAGATCCATTACACTGATATTGATACACATGCGTCGTCTTTCTCGACTGTTTACATTCACTTAAGACATGACCAACGGTGTTTGAAAAGATACAAAGACCTCGAGTACCGCGATACGTATCGTGGGTAGTGTATCGCGGACTTTCCGGTTTGGTTTGAATATTGTTACACTCCTAATATGTACCTAGTACTCTACATTTCTAGAATGTATAGACAGGTGTGTACAAATATTTTATATATATTTTAACTGCATGTATTTAAGACAAACTACAGTTGAAAAGTTTGAGTTTGGTATTTTTATATATTTTTTTAAGAAAATATTTTTCTTCAAGGACACATTAATTTGATATTTTTTTTTTTTTTTTTTAGAATAGAATATATATATAGTCTATAAAGATACAATATATTTGATTAAAAGTTACAAATTATTAGTATAGCTTAAAGAAGTTAAGTATATTTAAATAATAAATTATAGAATGTGGGTGTGCGCAAACATATATATTACATGAATTATTTTAAAACATTTGCATATAAACAATATAAATAATAAAATAAAAATGCATATAAACTATAAATGTCAAAAATAATATAATGTGTATAAATACATAAAGGTACAATATGATTATAAATAATTTCAGAATTTTATAAAGACTTTTAACAAGAAAACAGTGCACATTTATGAATATGTCCATAAATCTAGAATGCATAATAAACCACAGTGAAAGCATGAGGTTCTCAAGACGCAATAAACCAACAGAAATGTTAAATGTTACATAAACATGTTCATGCAGCATGATAATGACGGACTCTGTATGCTCTTGTGAGGCACAAGCAAACACAAACCGACATGTTAGTGCAGCTGCTATGCAAAACCATTAATGAAAACGCAACAGAAAACAGAAACATTTCTGAAATGTGGGACAAATGGACTAAAAAAAACCGGGACAAAAACGTAAAGAGGCATATGAACTGTAATGGAAAAGAATAATTGGAAACACAGGACTCGTATGGAGGCTCTGTCTGAAGTGAGACAGGCTTGAAACTGGAGAAGGGCAAGACCTGCTGGGTGAGGTAGCAAAGTCATCGTACTCATAGGTAGGAGAGAGTTCGGAGCGCCCGCCTCCCCCCTGAGAGAAGGGAATGTCGGAAGGGCTGATCCCAAACTCCTTCACTCTGAAGACGGGACGACAGACGGCCAGTGAGACAGAGATGGGAATTACAAACCCCTCCAACACATTATTTAAAAAATATGTGCATAATACACATAAAAATATCAAGAGTCTAGAATTAATATGGTTTAAATTCGAGTAATATTAATGTAAATGTATTCATTTGCACAAAAATTATATTTCTTCATAGAATGTGTGTATACATCCATAGATAGATATTTAAATGTTTTTTTGTTTATTGTTTTTAAATTGTGCAAAATATGCATATAATCAATTTAAATTATAAAGATATAAAGAGTATAAATACATAAAGGTACATACAGGATTATACAGAATTTTACTAATTAATAATGTACATAAGGAATTTCATGTAAATTTATGAATGTACATAAATATAGTGTGCATAATATATTTATTTTATATATTTAACATTATTCTGTAAATACAAATATTCTATTTTTACATACATATTACAATTCTTAAAACTCATATGAATTTTATTTTTAATTTTCCCTTAATTACAGCCAACAGATTTATCTGGATGTGACTGGTTACTTGCATTAGAAACCTTGAAATAAACCGGGTTAAACAACATGCAGCTCATATCTAGATACAGTTATGCTCCAAACAACATTCAGCATGTCTTTCTGTAACCGCAGCTGCAGTGTCTGCTGGGCTCACATCCGTACCTGTTGGCGTATCTCAGAGTGTTTAATGTGTTTTCACATGATGCCATTCCAGGAGAGATTGTAGCGATCTATTCACAGAAGATCAAACACATTTAAATCATTAACACACACACAAATTACACTAGGTGTTGAAAATGCATATATGAATATAATCACAGTGTTCTTACCATACATGTTCTAGAGTTTTCTCCGATGAAGGAATCTCTTAAGACCTGCGTGAGTTTACTGGCTCGAAACGGAGTGTGTGGTTTGTTTCGACCCAAAGCCCTGATGCACTCCTGTCACACACAAACAATAAATCAACCCAGATACTAACACGATAATGCATTTTCTCAATTCACAGGTGTGGACCATCAAAACATGGGCAAATCAAATAGCTGCAGGCCGTGTGTGACGATTTGAAGCGCAAACCTTCAGCGCCAGGAGACTTTTGTTGATCTCGGCGCCCTCGAGCCGCGTCTGTCGGTCAGCGCTGGACGTGTCTGCCCCTCGCTCGTTCCCCGCCAGGTCAATGAGAGAGAATTTACCGTGCATTTTGCCCCTCCTGCGGAGGATAATCTGAAACACAGCGTGACTGCGGGACGAGTGAGCGTTAGCCGAGGTCTGTCCAGACGTCCTGAGGAAAAGCACACACAAAAAGCATGATTAATACCAACTGTTTTTAACAGTGTCACTGTCGGAAACTGATTATGAAGTATTTTCGATTATTACAATAACTTCAGAATATTATAAATTATTAATATAACAATTAAAATAAAGAATTTGAACATGTATATAAATAAATATATAACATTTAATTATTATATAAATATTATTTTTTTTTCAAACATGTTACAATTCTTAAAACTGAATTTTATGTTTCAATTCTTGGGATTGGTGGCACCTGCAGCTGTTGCCCATCTCGATGAGCTTGAGCACGTCCTCTGTGCATTTGACGTCTCGCTCCTGCAGTCCGACCACCTGAACCTGCTGCTTCCCGTCTTCAAGAACTCGCAGCTTCGCCTTCCTGTTCAGAAGGTCAAACACCTGCAACGGCCCACTGGAATTTGACTTCATGCACTTCATGAACAAATTAACTCATTAATTATTCATGTGAACTAGGAAACTTGCCTCCCGCTGTACATTTCAAAAAACGCACACCTGAAAATCTACTTAATTGAAATAAGTTAATAAGTTCAAGTACTAAAAATTACTGAATAAAATTAATTAAATAAAAACGGAAATAAATTAAAGCTAAATAGAAATATAAAAACTAAAAAGACAAATGCACTTTAAAATTAAAATGAGTGAAAATAAAAGGTCATTCGAAATATGAATATAAAATACTAATAAAATATGAATATAAAAATACTAATTATTAATGTGAACTAGAGAACTTGCCTTTCCACTGTAGATTTCAAAGAGCATGATAACTAACAACAGAAATAATATAAGTTTAAGAATTAAAATTACTGAAATTAAATTTAACCAAATGCAAATGTCAAAAACGAAGAATTACTAAACTAAATTGAAAATATATAAAAATAAAAGCGTATTCAAAATATTAATTAATACTATAATAGTATAGAAATAATACTACAATAATACTGCTATTTTTATAATAATAATAAATATTTTATAATATTTATTACATTCATTAATCATGTGGACCACAGAACTTGCCTTCCCGCTGTAGATTTCAAAGAACGTCGCGTACACCTGAAGAGCCAACTTCTTGTAGTTTGGTTTTTTTAACATGAGAAAAACATCCCGTGCTGAAAGAAAAGCAGAGTCAAATTGATGAAAATGATCGCTCAATATCAGATCAGAAAAACAGCAGGTCAGACACACACCAGCGAGAGCGTAGATCCCTTTAGAGCAATCCTGGTTCTTCCCCGAAAAATCTCCTCCCATGGTCTGGAATGAAGGGAAAATCGATTATGACAAATAAAGGATCCTCTGGGAAGATGTGTTCCTGTAATGTGATGTCATCAGCTTACATGAGTTTTCCCGCTGCCCGTCTGACCGTAAGCAAAGCAAGTGGCCATTCCCCTCTCAAATATGGTCTCCACCAGCGGCCGAGCAGTGAACCTGAAACACATCACACCCGGAGACTTCACTTTATATGACAACAGCATTTAAAACAAACAAAAAAAAGCATAATAAACCACAGTAAAACTTTTTACTTATATATCTCTGATCTTATTATTCATAAATGTACACTATTCTAGTTTTTAAAAAATATTATTTTTTTTTCCTCAAAATGAAATTACTTTCTGTCTCTAAAATAAATGTTCTTGTCTGCTAATGTTACCAAGGCTGTGTAGGCAGAGAAAACAATATTATCAAATTAGAACACAGTCTTATTTTCAGAAATAATTGCATTTTATATTTTTATAAAAACATGATTTTTTTTTATTGTTAATTTGTTTAGTGCAGGACTGAACAAATAATATTTTTTTATAGATTTTTAAAATATATTTATGTTTTTATAAAAAATATATATTTGTTACTTTGTACAGTGCAAGACTGAACAAATTATATTTGATTTATTTTTAAAATATTAATATATTTATATTTTTATAAAAATATATTTAGATTTGTTACTCAACTTTGTTGAGTCTGAACAAATAACACAGGGTGGCCGCGGGTCCTTAAAAAGTCTTAAAATGTCTTAAATAAAGTTTTCCTAAAATAAGGCCTTAAAAAGTCTTAAAATGTCTTAAATTCAGATTCAGTAGGTCTTAAATATTTTTGGTCACATTACCACAAAAATGTCTCCAGTCTGATGGACCCAGTGAGTGTCCATCAAGAGTACACAAAGTGTGAGACCCAACAAATTATACTTATATTTTTTATATATTAATATATTTATATTTTTATATAAAAAAAAATATTTTTATATTTCTTACTTTTTACAGTGTGAGACTGCACAGGTTAATTTTTGCTCTCTCTTGTCTTTCCTTTTTTACTATTTCTCTGTAAAACAACAAACATCTGACCTGTACACCATTTCGTTTGTGGAGATGTCGTCGAAAGCGTAATCGAAGCGGAACGTCTGGTTCTCCAGGTATCTGGTTAAATCCACTTTCTGCTTGGGCTCGTGGACCATGACCACGTCTTTACTGGGGATGGTGATGACGTCCAGATCCTTCATGGTCAGCTCTGAGAGTCAACATACATGATGAGCTGCATCACAAACAACACCAACACACTGACGATACAGAATCAGAAACTGTCATCCTTACCTTTCTTGTTCAGTGGCCGCGTCCGCACACACACGCATATCCTGTGGTCCTCAATCTGAGAGCATATACATATTATTAAGACATATCTATAAGAACAACATCCAACACAGCTAATGCATCACATGGAGATGAAATAACTATGGAGCACGTGATGGTAATGATGCAGTTCTTCACCAGATCTGCAGTGGTCAGCGGTCTGTAGTCCAAACTCGCTCTGAAGTCTCGGATCATGCACATGATTTCATAATTAGGGGTTGTGGCATCGACCTCCTGTGTAATCAAAAACTCACAGTTAATACCACAAGAGCTTATAACATAATAACATCACCTTCTTGAGATGTTAAGTCAGGTTAAGTCATGTTAACAGTCAGGACATTTTTATTTACTAATTTGGATTAGAAATGCAAATTAATTTAATTACTAAGATGATAACTAGATGCTAACCACGGAGTTAAACAAGTAACATAGTAAGATCATGTGACCAATGTTTGGAACATTTAGGATGCGTTCAAAATGCAAGTTTATAACAAAATGAACACTGCAGAGTGTATACCATATACTGCCTGATATTTCTATAATGAAACAATTATAATAAATAAAACTTTAAATAATTTATTCATTCTAAATAAAATAATTTATTCTAACCCTAACATTAATTAATTTCGCAGACACCAGTGTTATTATATTAGTTTTATTAATATTTTTAACTACTTATTTTTATAATTTCCATTTTAATTTTTTTTTTTTTTTAATGTCTATATGGTCTTTATTCATTTTTAATTGCAGTTTTAGGTGTTTTAGTATACCAAGATAAACTAAATGAAAATGAGAAATGCTGAGTCATTTCTATTCATTATTCACTAGGTGAAATAAAATGTTTAAGTTTTTTTTTTCGTGGTTTTGTTTAACTATAATAACCCTGGTAGATGCTTTAATTGAAAGCGACTTAGAAATGAGGAGCATAACATGCAATTTGTCACCAAGCCAACAATATTCATAGTATATAATAAATAAATAAACAGATACAATTTTATAATTTTAATATGCAATAAGCAACATAAATTAATAAACATTACAATTGCAATGCACATTACGCAATAAAACACAACACATTATATATATATATATATATATGGGGGTCTGAATACTTTCCGTACCCACTGTATATTAGAGGTCGACCGATAGTGGATTTTGCCGATACCGATTAATTAACCGATTGTTTTAAAATTGATACTGAACAAAAACTAAAATAGTGCTTTATTAACAAAACCATTACTGAACCATACTAGTAGTAGTAGTAAAAATCATAATAATAATAGTAATAGTAAATGTTGAAATTAACACACTCTAACAAGGAACAATACTTACACAGCTTTCATTAAGTTGGCTTGAGAAAGCCAACTTACTGAAATCCGTTTTAAACTTATTAAGTTGGCTTGTGAAAGCCAACTTACTGATATTGTATTTAAACTTCTTCTTCTTCTTCTTCTTCTTCTTTTTCAAACTTTCTGGTCCGGCTTTCTCAAGCCAACTTAAAGTTTGTCTTGACGAACTTTTTTATCTAGTTCTTCTTCTTCTTCTTCTTCTTCTGACCAAAAATGTAAACAGTATCTCCTCCTAGGGCTTTAAAGCTAGAACCACCAAACTCGGCTCAGACCTTCAGACTGTTCTGACTCGGGTTGCTATATCTTTTCAGACTGATCCGATTTACAGTATTCCTAAAAATGATGATTAAAACTTGGAAAAATCCCATATACTTGAGACTAAAATTTCTGACTGCTACTCCTCCTAGAGCTTTAACTCTGCAGACTCCAAACTCAGCCCAGCTCTTCATACTGATCTGACCGTGTGCTATATCTTTTCTAACTGATCGGACTTATGGTTTTCATAAACATGAAGATTAAAAATCATAAAAATCCCATAAACTTGCACTGAAAAGTCTCTGCTTATCTGAACATTCCGTTAAACTCCAACTGTCAAAACTAAACACAATGAAGCCCAAGTAGAC